AATGTAAATTTGTTTTTAAAATTTTTTACTTTTTTTTCAAAAATACATTTGTTTCATAAAATATAATTTTGTTTCTTCAAATGTTATTTTGTTTTTTATTTGGTAATGTGTTTTTGAATTGTAAATGTGTTTTGCACTTCTCAGCCACCGTAAAATCCCTTCCATCATGCTCAGTTTTCTGACTTTTTTCACATATTTTACTGAAATAAAATTTTAAATTCAGTTAACTTTTTTCATTTTTTCGGTGGCCCTAATCCTCTTCCGTAAAAATTTTAAAATGTTCATAGTAGAAAAATACTTTTTCAAGGAAGGAACAGATCAACCTCAACCTTAGATGGACAAAGATAAAGAGACATAAAAGTCCTTAGAGAACATGTTCTCAGACAGGTTGTTTTTGAAAAGTATTCCCTCTGCAGCCCTTCAGGCTCTTTCACTTACTCTGTGGGTACCTGCCCGCTGCCCTATTATGTTCATTGTATGATTGACCTTTACATCTTCATCTCTACGGGTGTCATATTGATTTGCTCTCAAAGGTAATGGTAAACTTTTATGTTCGCTCCATTATTCCGTGTTCCTCTCTGCTTTCCCGGGTCTTTATAAGGCAGGTTTTCCTGCTTCCTGACAAATCAGATCCATAATACCTGCTGTAAGTGTAACAAACATACTAAACAGCCTACATATTGTACTTACGATTATAGTCTGCAAACAACAATATAAGATGCCATATTCTAAATATATTTGATATTGTTAATTTATCTCATATCATAAATATAGCATACACTTATACGTAAAACACATGATGCACACGATATGCACGTTGAATCCCATACTGACAAAACAATAAAAAAAAATCTAGACTGCAGCATGGATACAGTCAGGTAACATTGCTCATCTTTTTTTTATTATCTCCCACTCCCTATTCCACATTAAGTTAAATGGTTGTTACTATACATAGGATTCAATAATCCTCATCTTATATTTTTATTATATGGCACTAAGACCAGTTCATTGCTGCATAATATACAGTAAATTCATATATAGGTAGATGTGCATTCATGCAATGTTACATAAGTGATAAGATACACATGGGAACCCTGACAAAAATATGTGTGTGTAGCTCTGTACAGTGTATTCTACGGAAGAGGATTAGGGCCACTGGGAAAAAAAAAA